AGTTTACCTTATATATATATATATATATATATATATATTAATAGGGTAGACCATAATATATAATCTAAACTGCATTTAGTTTCTTATGTAGAAAAACTGCAAAACCAATATAGTTTTTTGTCTTCATCTTTACAATTTAATATGATTTTAAAATCAAGAAATTTTTGAACTATTTAAATATCTTTAAAAAATAAACTAACAGTTAAGTTGTATACTAATAAAAGTTGGTTTTGTGATTAATATATTTATATAACACCCCCTCCCCCCCCCTCTAAGTAACAAACATTTTCCCTAGAGCCCCAGGCCATTATGAAAGTGAATCTAGCAGTTCTGTATTGAAATACGGAAAAGTGTTACAACCATAAATAGCCTAAACAAGTCTCTCTTCGTAAATTTTAAAATCTTCTTGTCCCGGCTCGGCAAAGAAAATTGTACCGGCACGGCAAGATGAATATGGACCGGGTCGACTGATAAATGTACTGCCCCGACTAGTGTTGAATGGTTGGCACGCGTCACGGTATTGATCAGGGGAGTGGCGTGTCCGGTTTCCCGCAGGAAACGTAGCGCTCTAGAGACAGACACCGGTCAGTTTAACAACATTACACTCAGTTACAAATACAACTTCAAGGTAGAAAGACGTGTGCAGAGAAAACTGAAACTATGCATTACTCTTCCAAACAAATAATATAGTTACAAGAACAATGTTTCAGCTTCTCATCCTAGTGTTCTGTTTTCTGAGTGAAGTTCAGGGGATATGTTATTTCCCAGCTGTGTACCAAGGAGTTTTTGAAAGTCAAACTGTTGGAGGAAACTCAGATGTATCATATTCATCAATATCAGTTCTATATGATAGTATTCCTGTCTGGGGTTACTGTTATAGAAGAGTAGGATCTAATGTTATATTAAAAGAGGATTCTGGAGGAATAACATGTTATCGATGTTTTCATCTTTCTCTCAGATCATCTAATATTCTACAGATACACACCAAGGGTTTAAACAAATGTTTTACAACTGAAGATGCAGCTTTATCAACCTGTGTATCACAAGATGAGATGATGCATCAGGATGTATCAGAGATTATGATGTATAGAACTAAAGGATTTCTAGGAGAACCTGCTGTTAGTCCGACCTACTGTCCGTTTAATGGAGAATATACGTTTACATATTCAGTAAATGATGGTACAGAGAATACATTAGAGTGTCCTACACCTATATCAGAGATATCAGATTGTCCCTTCGGGTTCGGGTTCAATCTTCAGTTTAAACAGTGTTCCTTTGGTGCTCTAGAGATCTCCTTCCACTGTCTTGGAGATTGGGAGGGACGGGACGGAGAGAGATTTGTTGCTCTCATGGATACAGGAGCATCACTTACTCAGGGTAGACCTAGATATAGGTGTGCAATATATAAGGAGGATAAGATAACTGGCAAGGTTAAGATGGCTCTATCCTCAGATTCAACTTGTGTTTCAAATCTTGATTCATCAGAGAGAGGATATGAGACTATGGTTCTACATCCCAAGGAATCTCCGTCCTGGCCGGAGTTAGATTCATCCTGTATATTTCCAGACTGGATTCAAGGTTCCTGGGAGCATGTAGATTTCCAAGGAGATACCATGGTCTACAAGGATCATAGAAACTTTAAAACCTACACTGGAAAATGTATTCCTCATAGTTCAGGAGACCCGGAGAGATTTCTTGTTTATACCAGAACCCAGTGTGGAGATGAAGTTTACAAGTGTATATGGATAAAGGAACGTGGATTTGTTATTATCATAGACAAACCAATCCTAGGTTCAACTGGAATCTCTCAACCTCGACAGATGAACCAGTGGACCTGGAGCAGGGTTCAGGTTCACCAGGGTTGAGAGAAACCATTCTTCTCCTGGTCCTAACAGTTATTATCCTGTAAACCCAACCTTGAAATCTCTAGAAGTAAACCAAAGAATCTGTGATATATTTGTCTAGTTTATTAATGCTTCTGTAAAGATATTCTCTGATCTTACTCAATACCAACCAAACTTATGTATTATAAAATCTATAAAATCTCAAAACTGTGATATTAATGTATGTATAAAAATTAAAATGATTTGATATGAATAATATAAATGAAAATGTATTACTCAGTCTTCTTTAACAGTACATTTTTTTAATAAAAGATGAAAATTTGTTGAAAAAGTTTGAATATTGTTATGAAGTAAGAATGTATTAGGAATTAAAGCAAGAGTGAAGTAATGGGTGAATTGTATAAAGATTTTCAGGAAAGGAAAGATGAGATCAAATTTAATTTTGATGTTTAAATATTTTGTGTTCAGTTTAAATGAGTGGAAAAGAGTCTATGAGTGTACCTTTGCGGCATGAGTGCTTGAGTGTGTAAAAATGAGGTCTGAGTAGGGTTTAGTGTGTCTTGAGAGTATCATGAATGGGATGTATGAGTGTGTACATGAATGGGATGTAGGAGTGTCTACATAAGTGGGATTAGGAGTGTCTACATGAATGGGATGTATGAGTGTCTACATGACTGGGATGTATGAGTGTCTACATGAGTGGGATTAGGAGTGTCTACATGAATGGGATGTATGAGTGTCTACATGAATGGGATGTATGAGTGTCTACATGACTGGGATGTATGAGTGTCTACATGAATGGGATGTATGAGAGTGTGCATGACTGGGATGTATGATTGTCTACATGAATGAGATATATGAGTGTTAGCATGACTGGGATGTATAAGTGTCTACATGAATGGAATGTATGAGTGTCTACATGAATGGGATGTATGAGTGTCTACATGAATGGGATGTATGAGTGTGTGCATGAATGGGATGTATGGGAGTGAGTGAGTGAGTTTATAATTGTATGTATACATGAGTTGGGTTAATGGGTAAGTACATAAGAAGGGTGTAAGAGAGTGTGAGTGTATAAGTGTGTACATGATGTATGTTTGGGGAAGTGTTGGATGCACACCTGTCGGTCACTTCCTCACCTTCTACCTGCAGCTGCGCCGGGGTGAGGGGAGGGATAAACGCAAAAGGATGGGGGGGAGGTCTGGATAGGGGGGGGCGTTAGTGTACCTGCAGGGGAAGGTTGTAATCATCTCCGAGTATCATTGTTACCTTGCGGGTGTTCTTGTAATTTAATCAACAGTACAATATTAGAGTTTACAGAATACACAGTTTATAACACCAATCTTAGCTTAACTTCAGTTCATTTCTCAGCTTTTGACACAAAGAGAATAGAATATATAGTAGAGTGGAATTTAGAAAATCCCTCGGTATGAATTTTATCAGTCCCTTTCAGCCTGAAAGGGAGTTCAAAGTGTACAAATCACGTAAATGTTCACAAATCATATGCAGTAGAGTACAATAATACAGTATGTTCCCTAGACTATCTATTTCAATTTCGAATTTTTTAAAGCTGTTAATAAACTTTATAAAATGAATTAGGTGAATAAAAACATAATTTGATTTATAGTTACAACGGAAAATCATCGTTTGTAAAGTGAGAGGCATAGAGTCTATGTGAAATAATCATTGGTCAATTATGAAACCAGCCTATTTCATGATTTGGTTTTCTTTTAATATTAATTTTAGATTTTCTATAAAATTATGTTCCAGGGCTCAAAAGGTTATACAGCACAAATATGTGAAGTACACCTGCAGTATGGAAACAGTACAACAAAATGGCCGTTTTACACTTTTTTCTAGTAATTTCCACTCTAATATATATTCTATTCTCTTTGTTTATACATCTCATATAATACTAAACTTAACTTAACTTCAGTTCATTTCTCAGCTTAACTTAACTTCGGTTCATTTCTCAGCTTTATACAGCACATATTATACTAAACTTAACTTAACTTCAGTTCATTTCTCAACTTTATACAGCTCATATAATACTAAACTTAACTTAACTTCAGTTCATTTCTCATCTTTATACAGCTCATATAATACTAAACTTAGCTTAACTTCAGTTCATTTCTCAACTTTATACAGCTCATATAATACTAAACTTAACTTAACTTCAGTTTATTTCTCATCTTTATACAGCTTTCATATGTTACCAAACTTAACTAAACTTCAGTTTAATTATAACTTTATACAACTCATATAATTCTAAACTTAACTTAACTTCAGTTTATTTATATCTTTAAACAGCTCAAATAACATATAAATCATCTCAACTTAATTTCATTTTTTACTTTAATACAGCTTTATAACACTCAACTCAGCTACACTTTTAAGCTTTAAAATTTTACTTAACTCAACTTCATTTTAGTTTTTAGTTTTAAACACTTTACTTAACTCAACTTCATTTTAGTTTTCAGTTTTAAACACTTTTCTTAACTCAACTTCATTTTATTTTTTAGCTTAATGCAGCTTTAACTCAAATGAACTTTAATCAGTTTTTTTAGTTTAATACAGCTTTTATAATTAACATTCAACTCAACTTATCTTCATTTAATTTGTTTGCTTAATACAGCTTTTATAACACTTAACTAAGCTTAAGTATTATTAATTTCTCAGCTTCCATAACACTCAACTCAGCTCAAATATTGTTAATTTCTCAGTTTTTATAACACTCAACTCAGCTTAAATGTTGTTAATTTCTCAGCTTATATAACACTCACTCAGCTTAAGTTCTGTTCAACATATGCTTACTGCAAAAAAAATGAAAAGAAGCTGAAAATATTTAGATTATCAACAAACTCAATTTTAATCTGACCTAATTCCTCCTTTCTTCGCTTTATTAAAATGTTGCTTTGGTTTATATTTAAAAAAAAGTTGTGTTAAAAGATATAAAATAAGTACACCTGCAGTATGGAAACAGTACAACAAAATGGCCGTTTTACACTTTTTTCTAGTAATTTCCACTCTAATATATATTCTATTCTCTTTGTTTATTCATCTCATATAATACTAAACTTAACTTAACTTTAGCTCATAGCTTTATACAGCTCAAATAATACTAAACTTAACTTAACTTCAGTTCATTTCTCAGCTTTATACAACTCATATAATACTAAACTTAACTTAACTTCAGTTCATTTCTCAGCTTTATACAGCTCATATAATACTAAACTTAACTTAACTTCAGTTCATTTCTCAGCTTTATACAGCTCATATAATACTAAACTTAACTTAACTTCAATTCATTTCTCATCTTTATACAGCTCATATAATACTAAACTAAACTTAACTTTAGTTCATTTCTCATCTTTATACAGCACATATAATACTAAACTTAACTTAACTTCAGTTCATTTTTCAGCCTACTCAACTTATATACCACTGAACTCAGCTTAACTTTAGTTCATTATTTAGTTTAATACTGCTTTTATAACACTTAACTAAGCTTAAATATTGTTAATTTCTCAGCTAATATACCACTGAACTCAGCTTAACTTTAGTTCATTATTTAGTTTAATACTGCTTTTATAACACTTAAGTTCTGTTCAATATCTGCTTACTGCAAAAAAATGAAAAGAGGCTGAAAATATTTAGATCATCAACAAATTCAATTTTAATCTGACCTAATTCCTCCTTTCTTCGCTTTATTAAAATGTTGCTTTGGTTTATATTTAAAAAAAAGTTGTGTTAAAAGATATAAATTTGAATCTTCCCTAACCTTATGTTTCTAGTTATTAACCCTTTAGCTTGAGTACTGGTATACACTATACAGAGAACCACCTGCAATATTCAGGATTAATAGAGATTAGCTGTTTATTTAAACCTATTTTAGATTTTAGATTCATTTAAACTTTACACAATAAGAGAATGCATTCATCATCAAGAGAATAGAGAAGATTTGTAATTGAAGAAAGAATAAAAAAGCAGGGACTGCAGTGGTGGCTTGAGGGGGGGGGAGGGAGAAATGTTCCCCTTCTGGAAAATTTGGGGCGACACGTCCCAGGAAAAATTGGGTGAGCATCTAGAGAGAGATAGGGCACCTTCTAGTCCTTTTAATTTGATTTTTAAGAATGGATTCGGAAAATATTTGCCGGCAGCGACTCTGAAATCAGACAAAATGAGTAGAGATGAGTATTGAGTAAAGATGAAAGAGAGTAAAAGAGAAATGAAGATGTTCTATTAAGATCAGGAATCAAAGAACAATGAAATAAAGATATTCAGCAAGTAAAATACATCAAGAAAGAGCCGTATTATGTTAGGTCAATGTATATTAATTTATTATATAAATATTAGAAGAATATATAAGGGTTTGGTTATTATTTAATAATTAGGTTTGAGTGTTTAAGCAGCTGGTTCGGTCAGACAGGGGTCAGCTGTCCTAGCTCTGCTCCTACACACACAACCATTGTTTGTAAACAATGCAGAAGCAGTACAATACTCTACACAAACTTTACATATTGAATTACGTTGTTCAGATACAAATACATATATTGCACATTTACATGCCAGATGTTGTTGTATAATTGAAATTATAATTCAAAAATATGAAACCTGCAAGGTATTCCAAAACATTCTCTCTAGAATGCACTTTTTTCTAAATAAACTTCTCCTTATCAAGTTATTTCTCAAATTTCCAATTATTGCAATTCAGGCTACGATAGACATTTGGTAATGTTGTGTAAAGCTGGATATTTAGGAACTTTTTTCATTTTTTTCTTAAATTGCATAATTGGGAAATTGTATACTTGGGAAATTGTATATTTGGGAAATTCTATTTTTGGGAAACTGTATTTTTGAGAAATTAAATGTTTGAGAAATTTTTTGCTTGGCAAATTGTTTGTTTTGGGAAATTGCAATATGCACTTTCATATATCAGGCGTTTTCTGTGGATAATTGTAATTGTTAATTGTGTAATGGCAGTTTAAAGGGACAAATTTGATAATAAAACTGAATTAATA